GGTGTGAAGCAGTTGCTTTGCTTATTAATCTTATTTGTTAACTGCCTGTCCTGGCCAATATGTCGGGGGGGGGGGGTGACTATCATTTTCTTACCACTATTTCCAAGCACCTGGTCACTAGCTTGTGAAGTATTTGGAATATCACCAAGCTATTGTGTGTCTGACATTTTCTCATAGTAAATGTGCAGTTCATATTTTTCTTAGAGTGGAATGTGTTATTGTTCCCTTGATGTCATCTTAAAAATGACTTGCTAGGACTTGACAGAAGTATTAGAAGTTGAATCTGCTTGCTCCTGGTCCAGAGAGCCTGAGCTCAGTTATCAGCATCCTGGTTGGGTGGCCCACAACTTACTGTCACTCCTGTTCAGGGGGATCCCATGCATTCTTTTTTTTTTTTTATCAAAGATTTCTGTCTCTTCCCCACCACCACCTCCCCTTCCCCTCCCCCTCCCCCAATCCAGTCCCCCTCCCTCGTCAGCCCAAAGAGCAATCAGGGTTCTCTGCCTTGTGGGAAGTGCACGTATTGGCTTTGTGGGAGCCTAGGCAGATTGGATGCTCACCTTACTAGACCTGGATGGAGGAGGGTGGTCCACGCATTCTTTCAGCCTCTGCAGGTACCCTTATGCATGTGAAACACACACACACACACACACACACACACAATAATAATAATAAAATTAAAAATAATTTTAAAAATTGCCTTCTTAGCAACTGTAGCTAACATTTATCAAATACTTAAATTGTGTTGAGATATATTAATTGAGTGAAAATAACTATACTCTCCTATAATCATTTAAATTTTAATATTTGTAGAATTTGTTTCTGAAACTATGAAGTAGCCAACTTTATTTTTCACATAATAAATGGTAGCAGTTCAACCCAACGAGATATAGTGAATAATACAAACTTTCAGTATTTGATTTAAAATTCCATCTCCAGCTTGCACCTTTTGACCTCACCTCAATATGGACAATAATTGTCATCCATGGGGTTCTGCAATGACTTCAAAACATTCCTATTAATGTTGTTTTAAAATGCTAGAAAATGATTGGTTTTTCTGTCAATGAGATGATACTTGGGAAAATTTGTTAAAACTAATTAAAAAGTCAAACATACTTTTTAAACTTAGCCTGGAGAGCCAAGCATATGTAAATTTCAGCTGAATACAATACAATATTGTCCACTAGGTTTTTTTTTTTTCTGCAAAAGCTTTAACTGGAATCGGTGGCATAGGCCTTGCTCTATTAATTCTAGTAAAGTTCTGCTTGATAAGAATGTGTGTGTTTGCATTTCAGGTCAAGGCATTTAAGAAGGCACAATATGAATAATATCACCTTGGATGCAATTTATACACTTTATTCTTCCTCTGTGAAAATACTAAAGTATCTTATCACAGATGAAGCATTAACTTCCCATCAGGGGAAAATTAAATTAAGACTTCTTGGTTTGTAGTAAGTTGGCAAAACTCAGATACAAAATTCAGTTTCTGAAGCTCAATAAATCAACGGAACCCAGTAGAGGGCATTTGCCGTGATTGTTGTTTTTGTTATATGCGGAAATCTTTGAAGCTAGGCTGGCAGTGTTTTCCACACATGCCAAACAAAAGCAATCACCTAGATATTAAATCCTAGAAAAAAGGCAAGGAATATAAATTCATAGGGATGAAAATTAGACCCTGAAGTCCTTTTGTTATTTAGGAGGGTGAATATTAAAAATAACTCATGGGCCTAATCGCTACCACAAACTCAATGACTCATTTTTTAAAATATATGAGTATTAAGACAGCAAAAAACTCTTCCTAATTATTTTAACCAAATGCCCAACTGTAAGAACCAGTTTCTTAACTGTTTGTAGAACATAGGTCATATTTAAATGTTTTCTTTTATTACCAATCTTTTCTAGACAAAAAAAAAAGAGACAATTATCTTTAATTATCTAGATCTATTTTGGGGAGGAATTCGGTGGTTGATTGGCTGAGCTGAGAACCATCTCTCACACGTGTCTGGTTACTTCTCTCTCACTTCCAAGCATTGCCAGGAGAACAGAACATGAACAAATGGGCTCGTTGGGCTGATGGCTTCAAGTTTAGGAACTTCCAAATCTATTTTATCATGAATAGAACAGGAAGCTTCCATTTTCACATGCCTTGTCCTACAAATTTTCTGTCTCATTAATATGTAATGTGGTATAATGAGCTTTCTGCCCCAAAGACTTGTAGAACGTGATTTCTCACAGGTGGTATAGCTTACGAGGCCAAGGCAAGGACATTGATACTGCTTGCCTGGGTCTCCACCACTGTTTTACCACTTGCTTTATCAAGTGTAGCCTGTGCCTCAGTTTCTGTATCTGGAAAAGAATACATCCATATTGAAGTAAGTCTTGAACAGGATGCTTCTAGAGAAACACTTCAGGCGGAGGAAACAGTTTGGTGAGAAAAGTGTTTGCTGTGCAAGCATGAGGACCTGAGTTCGAATCTCTAGAACCCACATAAAAGCTGAGCCTGCATGTGGATTCTCCTGTAAACCCACGGAAGGGGACTGTGGAAACAGGTTCATCTCGGGTGCTAGGTAAGCCAAAACCATGAAGCCCAGGTTCAATGAGAGACGTGTCTCAAGAGATATCGTGGAGAACAATGAAGACAGAGAGCAAATGCTGACTTCTCACCTTGCCCCTATACAAATAAGATAAAATTGCCGGGCAGTGGTGGCGCACGCCTTTAATCCCAGCACTCGGGAGGCAGAGGAAGGCGGATCTCTGTGAGTTCGAGACCAGCCTGGTCTACAAGAGCTAGTTCCAGGACAGGCTCCAAAGCCACAGAGAAACCCTGTCTCGAAAAACAAAACAAAACAAAACAAAACAAAACAACAACAACAACAAAAAAAAAACAAATAAGATAAAATTAACATAGAGACAAGCACTTACAACAGTGATTCTCAAAGTGTGGGTCACAATTTCTCAGAGGCTTGAAGGACCTTTAAACAGGAGTCACATATCAGATATTTACATTATGATTCATAGCATTAGCAAAACTATAGTTATGAAGTAGCAATGAAATAATTTTATGGTTGGAGGTCACCACAGCATGAGGGCTATGTAGTAAGGGTTGCAGCATTAAGAAGGTTGAGAAGCACTGGTTTGGAGTTTGCCAGATACTCTTAAGATGATAGAAAAGGTTCATAATATTGCTGCCAGTGTAGATGGATTGAATGATTTTTGATGCTGGCTTCTTTAACCGTTTGTGGTTTAGAAACTGACATTAGCAAAATGATAAATAAAGAGTAAGGAGGAAGATTGACAGCTAGACCAAGTCATCTGGCTGTTGGCACTGACTGAGGGCTCTCTACCCCTTTGGTGACAGCCTCAGCCTAAGCAAAGCCTGAGAGGCTTCCCGTCCTTGCGTAGTAGAAATAAAAGCCTGCCGTGTCTTCGTGGAATAAGATGAAAATGTGTTTTCTTCTCCTTTCTTTAAAATGATGCCAAAGACAAATAAAGCATGTGGCGAGCAAGCCTAAACTTTCCCCTCACCTAAGAGGACTAGCAGAGGGAGTCGTTGCTTTTCTTCTACTTTTTTTTTTTCTCTTCTTGAAATTTTCCATTGAGCAAGTTCTTTTAAAACAAATTTGAACTTTTCCCATCCCAACGATTCCCACGGACAGTTGGCAAGGAATCCTGGATAACTTGCAAAGCTGGGATTCTTTCCAGGCGTGAGTAACTTGTTAAAAAGCCACCACTTCCTTAATACTAACAGTGAATAGAATTAGAATTCACATCCACATAAATCCCTTTTGGCCCACTGGGAGAGGTGTGCGTGTGTCTGTCTCTTTGTCTCTCTCTCTGTCTCTCTCTGTGTTTTTCTCTCTGTCTCTCTGTTTCTCTCTGTCTCTCTGTTTCTCTCTGTCTCTCTGTATGTCTCTCTGTTTCTTTCTCTCTCTCTCTGTGTGTATGAGAGAGAGAGAGAGAGAGAGAGAGAGAGAGAGAGAGAGAGAGAGAGCATGTGTGTGTGCACAATTTTTTTATTGCTAAAACACTTGGCTCCCAGGATGTCTGTTTATATTTCACTTCTTAAAAATAAAAATGCTCATTTATGCCAGTTGAGGTGAAAAGTATCCTCCCCCCCCCTTTTCAAGTTGCCAGCTGTGTGCCAGTGATTTTGACAGATGAGGTCAGCACCCACGGTTAGAATACTTGAAAATGATTTTCCTCCAATTTTTACTAGTTGAAAGTAAAGAGGACACAATTGTGAGCACCTTGGAAAAACAAGCATTTTCATGAAATCTCATTTTTTTAGTTGGAAAGCTTCAATAAAGGTTTGTCAAGTCTTATAGCAAAACTAACGGTGTGATTTTACATTTAAAGACCATTATGTTAGGTCCTCTGTGCATGGGGGGGGGAGTGAATTCCCAGAGCAACCTCTACCAGCTACTATTCTGAGTAAACAGCTGCTTACCAGTAATAATAATAATAATAGAATTTTGCTCATTTCCAAATCTTTTCAACAGATACATGTTTTAAAGTTATTATTGTCTTTAGAGATAAATTCTGGCGGTTGGATATTTACAACCCAGATGAAACAAAATGACCTATCTATCATTCTGCATATTTTCTGTTCTGACAAGAGCAGCTGAAATCTATTTATGTAACACACATCTGTAATAGAACATAATTTTATGTTCGCTATTAAAGTCTCTTGCATTTGTGTGTTTGGTGAGGGATACGGAGGTCCAGGGAGATTTCACAAGGTCATGCATTGCTGAGCAGTGGGACCTACCAGAGACTTTTCTGTCTCCCTGTGATGAGCCGGTAGCTGGATTCTCCCAGACTCTCTTTATCTGAGTGTTTCACAAACAACCGCTCTTGTCTTGGCAAGGCTGGACGGGGTGTATTTTGATTAACAGGCAGTCCCGTGAGATAGTTAGCGCTTCCTGCTTCCGGTCAGATGTCCCATGAGAATAACTTCTCTACATATGTTTTTGCATTTTTGATCACAATCCCAGCTGGAATCAGGAAGTTTGGAGGCGGCATGGAAATGGAAACTAATTGAAAGTCACAGTGACATTGTTTTGACTTTTAAAAATATTTAATGTTCTGGTGGTTCAGGGATAGGATTGCTGATACAGTCTATTATATACTTAAAAACCGTGATGCTGCCTCAGTTCCGTATCCAAGAAACATTGTTCTTTAAAGGCAACGAATCCCAGTTTAGAGGGACGGTTTTCTAAAGGCATAGGGAGACATGGAGTTGGGTGGTTTAAAATTCTAAGCTAAGGGGCTTTATTGAAGTATGATTCCATATTATCACAAGCCTGCAGCTTTGCCCCAAACTCCATTATCATCCTGTATCCCTGTCTGCTGCGATGGAGGAAGAGGCCAGAGTATGCAACTGTGTCTTCAAAAGGTATGAAGATGAATGATAAACAATGCTTTTGCTAAGCCATTCCAAAAGATGCTGTGTGGTGCTTTGAGCTTCTCTTTGTCCCTTTGACAAGTGAACAGTAAAAGAGGACACCCTTGTGTACCACTGAGTCTGCTGTGTATTACCTGACAGTGGGTATGGCCTGGGTAGTTATATGGAGTCTGGGCCACAACAAGAGCTAGAAATATCTGAACTCTGCCTCTGACACTCTTCCCTTCAGTTTCCTAAGAACACCTCTCAACAAGCTTGGATCTCTTAGACATCCATCAAACCCTGGTAACTCTGGTCTCTTTTGGCACCAATGCTGCTGATTGCGAGGACTGAAATAGAAACAGGAGGAAGGCGAGGCCTGCTGCTCACTTCCACTGGAACTATTTACATTTAAGAAAACCAAATACAAGTAGCGTTATGTGGACTCAACGGGTTCTATTTGGGAATATGTGTATATATAAATAGATAGATGCATGCAGTAACAATTGATGAAAAAAGAGGCGACGAATTAGAAGGGGAGTGGGGGTATGCTAGCCTTCTGTGGAGGGTTGGGAGGGAGGAAAAGGACGAGAGAATAGTGTGATTAAAATACGGTTTTAAAAAAGTAGGCTAATTGTTGAAGTAAAATAAGCAAACATATGCTCATGTATCCCTAAAACTCCAGTTCAGTTTTCAGTCAAAGATGGGAACATTTCTGCCATGATATTGCAGACCTAGGCAAACGCAGGCAGAAGGACCCTGCCACCCAGGGCCTTTCCAATGCACTGTTTGACACCTTGTGAAGGGCTTGTTTTGATCATTGTTGCTAGTTGCTGTTTTCTATTCTTTATTATTTTTTTCCTATGAAATTTCCAAGATGATTTTTGGTGGTTCTGTTTGATTTTTGTTTTGGTGCTTTCCTTTTTGTTTTGTACGGACCACATAGAAAGAAAACAAAGACTTATTGAAGATCAACAATGTGCCAGCCTGTTTCAAATTCCGGTCTTCCCTTATTCTCCAGCAGGTTAGTGACATGTCTGCTCTTCCAGCTTTCACAAAATGAGAGAGGAAGCCAGCTGTGGCTAAATTTGGTCAAATTCATGGAAAGGAAACTAGTATTTAAAACCTAAGTTTGGGTAAGACAAAAATTCGGTTTTCTATTAGGCGTTGCCTGCCCTGCAGTTTGTGACAGGGGTGTTGAGGGATTCTGGGTACATTTCATCAGTAGGGGCAGAGTTCGGCAATTCTCCAAACCAAACATACTTAGACACTTTGGTTTAAAATTGTGTTTTCAACAATTCTTAATTGCCTTGGGTCAGGCAGTCGTGGAGTGATGCAGGAGAATGCCCTTGCCCTCGCAGATGCCTAATGAAGTCTTCAGGGTTTGTTAGCTGCAGCTCACCTTCAGATGAATCAGCTAAACTGTGTCTGATTGGCAAATGCAGCTGCAGAAGTGCTCGCTGGCCAACTCTTTCAGATCTTCCCACACTTGAACGTCTTTCAAAACAAAATTTTGGGGAAGAGTATTACCTTTGTATATTTTTAGCTTGAGTCTGTAGCACCCACCATGAGTCAAGAAATCATGCTTTCTTTATGCTTACTCTCCTACATATTTGCTTGTACTCAGTGTGAAAATAGCAGTTTTCAAATTCGAATTTATAGAGGACAGACTAGGCAAGCAAATGCTGTACTGTTGGCGATTATGAGTTTTGGGGCTGCTGTGTCAGAGAAATCAAAGTGTTTAGCCAGGCTTTGGGGTCCCTTGAGTCATAGAAAGATAATCAATAGGGTCCACAGATCCTATGGAGAATGTAGTTCCCCCCTGAGCTTAGGGTTCTTCGTTGCTTGCTCTATTTTTATCTAGGAATATTTCTGAGATTATTAAATGCTGAGTTTAGTTAACTGAGGAATGTCATGAGCCCCTGGGGCTTTCTTTGGATAATCACTTACACTTCTGAATGAAAAAGCAGATCTGAAACGGGGGAATGGTTTAATGCAGAGAGTTAACTGGTCAAAGAGGACTCTCGAATCACGTTTAGTTTAGGCTCTACTATGCATCAGCCACCTTGAGGAAATGTCTTCTTCCATTCTTACTTGTTCCCTTAATCTCTCTATTCTTTCTTTTCTTCTCACTCCTTCCCTTCTCCCTGGCTCTTTCTTGGAAGTATTTATAATGTCTTTTTAGTGGGAGAGAGGCTAACATTCAGTTTAAGTAAGTTGGGTATTCAAACTCTAGTTTTTTAGGATGGCTAACTTGTATTAAGTGCCTTCTGTGTGTCAGGCTTTAGAGTTATATAAAAGGCTTGTTTATTTAGGAAGGGGAATCTCAACTTTAGAAGCCATGCTTAGAAGTAGTGGAGGACAATGAGCAAGAGACAGTTCCTGATTTGACATCTACTGTATAAAACATTAGGTAAACTTCTTAATGTTTAGGTGTGTCCTAAGAAATACAGAGACAATCATATAACAGACATACTTACCACTGAACGGTTAGAGAGGTAGAGGCAGAGAGGTGGAAAGGCACAGAATGGATGGTCCAGGCATCCAGAATTTAAAAAAGAAACCATTTCTGTAAACAACACTAACTCTCCATCTGACAGTTCTTTGACCAATTCACCTCTCAGATATGAAGAACGCACTTAGTGGTGAATTATTCTGGGACAGTTGGTCAATAGGGTGTGCAGATCTGACAGGCATCACAGATAGGATCACGAAATTCTAAGAATTCCTGTTCTGAATGTGGCAGAACTGAAGCAAGGAGTCAAGGTGAGGCTAAGCAGGAACACCGCAGCATAGCTTCTCTTTAGATAGTAAAGCAAGAGTAAGACCCCAGTGCTAAAACTTCAACCTTCAATGTCTCCAAAACCCCCATTTATTAAGGGTTTGACAACCTGTGTAGCTATCAGAAAGTGATGGGACTTTGAGGATTGAGGGGGAAGTCCCCTCTGTATGCTGTGATTACCATTAATGAATTAAAAAAGAAAAAAACCTGCTTTGGATCTATAGCAAGGCAGAACTTAGGCAGGGAAAGCTGGGCTGAATGTTGGGAGAAAGAAGGGCACAGTCAGAGAGAGCTATAGAGCCGCTGGCAGAGTTGGACATACCAAAACTTTGCTGATAAGCCACTGTCACATGGAAATACACTGATTAATGGAGATGGGTTAAATTAATATGTAAGAGTTAGCCAATAAGAAGCTAGAGCTAATGGGCCAAACAGTGACTTAATTAATACAGTTTCTGTGTGATTGTTTTGGGTCTAAGCTAGCCGGACAGCCGGGAACCAGCAAGCAGCCCCTTCCTTCTACAGAGGAAGTGGGGTAGGGGAGAAAATTTAGCCATTAAAATGTGCTCTTTAAGAAATCCCTGTTGGAATATTAGGCCCTCCACTTAACTTTCACATTCTGCCCACCTGAGGTGAGGAACCTTCTCCACCTCAGGCTGTTGCCATACTCCAAAGGCGCCAATGCAGCACTGACCAGCAAGCATGCATTGACATCACTGAATATGCCTTCATATCTTTAAATGAATTGTCCACCTTTTTGTTACAGTGAGAAAAGGCGAACACACCCAGACATCCTCAAATCTATTCTTCCTGGCTCAGGGGAACGGGGTGGAAACTCAAGTAAGAGAAGAATCCTGGGTTTGAAATTAATTTGTAATAAAAATTACTAAACCAATATCACAAAGTTTCTGGAATGTTCCACGACACTCATTGCACAACGGTACCTGTTCATTGCATATTGGTTTTCATCTGCTTAAAAATCAACTCAGCCTTCCTTTGGAGCCTCTAGGTCCTATATCCTCCTCATATTTCACCTCAACCAATGTTGATATTTTCAACAGTACGGAGGCAAGTTTTGGTAGAGGAAAAAACTAAACGTGAATTCAAAAGAATGCCTCAACGAAGCAGGGCTCTATCCAGTGGCTTTCCAGGGCTGGCACTCAGCTGTAATTAATCTCACAACTATTTTTTGCCCAACGAGTACAGCCGCTGTACAGTTTTAGCTTCTTGTGCTGTCTTGATATTCTTTATGACATCTCAAAATTATTTTTAAACCATGCATTATTAAAAAAAATCCAACTTGGGTATTCATTAGGTTAAGATGGATGAGAATAAAGCTGTATCCTCAACAGATGCCCCACTTAGGCATAACAATCTAATTCTATTTAATTTAGTCCCTGGCATCCTCGCCTTCTCCTGTCAGAGTGAATCAACCTGAGTGCTAATTTCTGAGGCAAAACCTCTGTGATCATTTCACTCGTGATTTAATCCAGATCTAACCTCGGGCCTTTAGAGGTTCAAGGTCAATGACCCAATTTACTCTGCCATCCGCCTCTGTGGCAGTAAGCATTGTTATTCCTTGCAAAGCTTTTACTGTATATGTGATTACTTTCTCATGTCCCTTCACTGAATCCAGCAGAAGCGAGGGATGGCTTCAGATGGTAAGTTTGTGAGAGTTGGCCAAGGTTTAAGGGTGGTCTCAGGATTTCGGTGATTCAAGAGAAAGGGTGTTGATGCAACCTTTGAACCTTTTAGCAGAAGCCAGCAAGAAGAAATGATCTGATTTGCTCCCCAAAAAAGACTCCTAGATATCGGTATCGTGGCCAGTCATAAATATTACTTTACAAAGAAATCCTGGACCTGAAGCAGTAAATACAAAATATATGAAGGAATTAAGGCACATAGATCATGCTGACTACCCTTAGAGATGAATGAACACATAGGAGCTCAACTCCTATTCTACGCTTTTTTTAAAAAAAAAATTTTTAATAACCAGTGTCTTTCTCAGCTTCTTTATCCGCAGCGGTTAATACAATTTGTGAATTTTCTTTTATGTTTTAAATAATTTTCCCTTCTCCGATGTCCCAGCAGCCCATCTGCCGGGAGCAGAGACTCGTTGAAGAGTCTCTCTTTAAGTAAGGAAGGTATCCCAGCGACACACAGCTGCACTCGGGGACAGCAGCTCCAGAGTGGGGTCCCTCCCACGAGGAGTTAAACTGGGTTTCTGTGTCAAAGATGCTGAATGGAATTGGGGGTGGGATTGTTAAAATTGGAAATGACCTATTTAACTACATGCGCCTTCCCCAGGACTGGTATAAATACGTCCAACTTTCAAATGTTCTCATCAGAACGAGCTTGTCATGGGCTTTGATGCAGAAAGACTTGTCTTACAGGAAACAGAACACGGAGGGTTGATCTCTGTACATCTCTATAATCTTTATGGTGTACCAGTGTCCTTCTTTGCAACAAGACCACAAAGTTGGCTCAAATCTCTCCGAAGCTTGAAAAAAATAAATTAATTGAATGGATGATGATAAGAGAGAGAATGATGAGTCCTTACAAATTAAAATAATCTATTTAATTGCTCTTTCCTTTACAGGGAAGAAACAAAGAACATAGTTGAATAACCACGATATAATGCTGGGCTGGACATTGGTTACCAAATTCCCTTGATGTGGGTCCATGATTGGCTTGCTTAAAATAAAATTACATGGCAACATCACCTAATAAACAACAACAAAATCTCATTTCCATTTTGACTTTCCTAAATCTCCTGAATGCATTAGGATGAATTCATTAGAATGAATGCAGAGAGAATTCCAGAGGTGACTGTAAGGAAGTTTAGCTGCTGTCCCGACACACAATAATTAGTAATTTTTTAGTCAAGAGACTTGCATGTACTGAATTATTGATTTATTGGTTATCTGAAGGAGTGCACTTTCGAATGCCTTAAAACCAGAAGTGTTTAGACTAGCGAGCATTTAGATGAACAAAATCAGCTGGGAAGCAGATGCACTATGTTCTAATCAGAGCCTTGATGCCGCCTCTGAAGATGCTTCAGTGAGAGGACATTGGCATCCATTCAAATGCCGTCTGCACTTAGAGCTTCAGAATACAGAACCGAAATTGCATCTGAGTCAAGACCAACGGGCATTTCAGCTAAAATTCTTCCGACTTGGCATGAATTCACACACCTTATGTTTTTTTTTTTAAACAAAAGAATATTTTGTTTTTATAAAATTGCATTGCTTCCCCTTCTTGTTGGAAATATGACCTTTAAGCAAAGGTTGTGCTTTATATTTCAGTCACCAAGCATTGAGAGAATTACATTAGCACTAAAATAATATTCTTACTGTCAAATGCCCCAGTCCTCACTAGCCACAGTCTGATTCTCCAAGGCCCTAAGTGATGCTTTATCATGCTGGCATGGCCGCCTTGACAGAATGTCACTCTGAAAGCCATCCTCCTCCCTGTCATTCTCAGCTTTCTGATTCAAGTCAGTTCTGTGCCCATCCCTTGCCCTTAACCCTGCTCTTTTCAGTTGGCAGGCTCCTGGGGGCTGTCAGTGGGCAACCCTTGGTCTCACTAGTGACCTTGACCCAAAGATCACTTTCCTTGATTTCCTTTTGGAGCAAAGAGTGGGGGAAAGGCAGATCTTCTGCTTTATACATAAAATTTTTGTTAACATTAACATATATATATATATATAATACATTCATAAATGTACTTAAATTTGCATTATTAGCAGGTCATAGAGTATATAATTTTAAAAGATTTGGTGGTATTTGAAGATGTCTCTTTCATTTTGTTCAATGTTCTTAATCAAATTGAAGGTAAATGTTGATACCTTTAGGACCAAATGCTACACTTTCAAAAAATTGCATGATCCAGGTGGATTAAATTAGGATTATTTAATTATTTACTAATTCACATACATTTTATTTTTTTTTTAGACACTGGGATCATTCTGTTTAAATCAACGAGGTGAGACGAGAGGAACGTGGTAGTATTTCATATGATTTTTAATGGCAACCAATGAATTCAGGGAGACTCCTGTAACACTGAGCCCTTCCTCATCTACCTCCTCCACCTCGCAAAATTCAGATTTCTGGAATGCTCTGAGGGTTCGGGAGTGTGGTGCACACCAGCTCCAATATCATTACGTGGGCAGCCCCAGCTATGGCAGGAGGAGCAGATCCATGGCGAGTTCATTTCTGGGCCAGTGCTGCCAAATTATATGATGTGAATTGATGTCCACTAGGGCTGGGGACAGCATGGCCTGATTTAAGTTGTGAGATTGAACTTGCCTACAACTGTTGGGGTGAGAGGCCAGTTCATGCTTATTAATTAGTCTAATCCATCTCACTGAATTTCATTTTATACCTTTGAGTGGACAGAGCTGTTTGGGATATATTTGGATGAAGTAAAGACGTTAGTACTTAGAAATAAGGTGATCCCACGGAAAATGATCTACCTGTCCCCCATCATTAATGATTCCAGAATGTTTCGGAGATGGATCCTTAGTAGTCGAATAACTTTGTGTGAGACAGCAATGGAAAGATCATTATTCCATGGATACTTAAAACACTCAGATCAGTTAGAAGTGATTCTGATAAACAGCATGGCAGCTGGAGTCATGGAAAATAATTCATTTTACCAAAGGACATCTCTTGCAATAATAAAGGTTCTATATAAGCATTAAATCTCCGAAGACATTAATTCATGACTATCACTTGAAATTTTTACAATTCAGACATTTAGACACCAGAGTTCCATTTAATTGTTAGGAACAGGTTGTCGAGATTTGTTCATTTGAAATTCCATTTGCTAACAGACGCAATAACTTGTCTGGCATTAAAAGCGAGTTTAAGGTAATCACTGCTCTTGTTCTTGGGTTCTAAGTGCTTTGCAATCCTTAATTCACATAAAACATCTGTGAAATTCAGTTAGGAGTGTGGTGAGTAAATTTTAATCCCTGTTTTTATACCACCACGTTCAGAAACATGCTTACATATATTTCAATCTTCTTTGTGTGACAAGTCACTGTGGGAATCTATAGGAAGGCATTTTAGTGACATTCTGAACCTTTGGGGCAGTTGAAGATTAATGTGCTAACAGAGTCAAAATTATGCCAAGCGAAAGACTGTTTCCTCCGTTGAGTTTGACACCAGTGAAAGGAATATTGTAAATTCCAGTGAAATTTTCCTTGTTATTTGGTGGTTACTTTAAAATGGAAGCATTTCGCTTCTTTGTTAGGTCATTCATAGATTAAGGGCAAATGCTTCCTCTCGCTGGGCATACCAATGATGTAATATAGAAATACTGCGGGTACGGCATGTGTACCTCCCCCACCCCGCATCTACTCTAGACAGTACTAATCAATTCAGCTCTTCCTGTGGGTCTACATCCAGCTCAGAGTACTCAATGGCATGCACCTGGCAGACGTTAACTGCAGACTGATTCTTTGGAGGTTCTTTGGGTAACTCATTATAAAGCAAAGACCTTGAAAACAATCTCCAGCATGGGAAACAGGACTAAAGCCACAGGGGAAATTAGCACGTGTTTTTAAATAAATCTTTCCTATTCAGGTATTCATCTCGAGTTGTCTATCTAGTAACTACTGCATGTACCACACTGTACTAGATGTTAAATGGGCACAGGCATTCATTTGTACACAGCACATTTTTATTCAATTATATTCTTCTCATTCTAGAAATGACTTATTATCCACAATCATATACACTTGTATGCAAGCTTGTGTTTGTGAGTAGGTATATAATATGTGTGTGTGTGTGTGTGTGTGTGTGTGTGTGTGTGTGTGTGTG